TCAAAAAGAATCTTTTTTGGGGGGAATTGTACCTGGTTCAACAAGTTCATCTGAACGGTCACTGAAGGGACTATTTTCAGTGTTCAGTGATTCCAGCAATCAACAGCCTCAGCCATCAACCATTCCATCTCAGCAAAAAGTTGCTCAGTCACAAACTCAACAACAGCTGGATGCTCATACACAATCTAAGCCACAAGAACACTCTCAACCACAAGAGCAGACTGCCACCTCTGTTCTTGGAGGTTTGTTAGGAGGCTTATCTGGCTCGAATGACAGTCCGAGAAAAAATTTGTTTTCCTTATTTAGTGGCCCAACACCAGGTTTTGGTGCGAACATTTCCTCTACCTCAGCGACTATGTCAGCCCCACAAAAAACATCCAACTCATTAGTTGGTCAAAAAGAACCCAAACAGGGATTATCAGAAACATCTGACTTTAGTGGCCATTGTCGAGAAAGAGCAGATTCAGGGAGTAAATCCGTCAATATTTCAACTGAACTGCATGTTACCATGCCAAAAGACATTACTTCAACTAGCCAGAACTCCAGTAAGAACGAGACCATAGTTGCTACATCTGAAACATTAAGATTAGATTGTGTTGGCATGCATAATCAAGCTATTTCAGGAAGTGCAGCCAAGGATTCTGCACCTGCTACAGAACCCTCAGCTCCTGGTATATTTTCGACTCTGACTGGATCAGGCCCTCCTCCCCCTCATTCTGTGGGACTTAGTTCAGAAGATCCGGGAAAAGGTTTGCTTTCTTTATTTTCTACACCCAGCTCTGAACCTCCCAGCAGCCAAACAAGACCTTTACCTCCAGAATCTTTACAAGCATCTTCAGGCTCCAAGGAGCCACCAGTCAAAGGATTATTCTCTATGTTTGGAGGTTCTTCCCCTGAGCCCTCCTCCCAGCCTGTAGGCTCACTGTTGGGGGCAATGTTTGGAGGGTCTTCATCTCAAACTACCACCTCACAGACTGGGGGATCTTTACTTGGAGGTTTATTTGGAGGCTCTGCTCCCCAAACTGTTCCCCAGGTTAGTCCTGCTAAGATTGGTGGTGCTATTCCTCATTCTACAGGACCACAGACAGGGCCATCACTACTTGGGGGCTTATTTGGTGGATCTGGTCCTCAGCTTGCTGGATCTCAGACTTCTATTTTAGGTGGACTTTTTGGAAACTCTGCACCATCATCTACAGTGCCTCAGACAAGTGGGTCCAATTCAGCAACTCAAAACAAAAGTTCTTTACTGGAAGGGGTGTTAGATGGATCATCTTCCCAAGCTGCCAACACTGCCCACTCCCCAGCAAACACTGGTTCCTCTTTTCTAAGTGACACCTTACCAGGAGATGGCACTAATGTTGCTTCTAGTAAAGCTGTGCTTTCAGTAGTTGGTGGATCTGCTCCTGCTAGTGCACCTACTGAAACTAGTCAAAACAGTTCTGAAAGCAAACCATCAGTGTATGTTGAAACAGGTGAAAATAATACTTCTACCAAATGTACCGAACATAAGGAACCACAAAAGAAGTCTAGTCTTGAGATCAGTGTATCCACAACTGACACTAATATCACAGATGAATTAGTTTGTCAAAGAAATGAAAAACCAGCCTCTTCAATGGAAGATTATCAGTCTAAACAATTGGAACTTTGCACCAAACCACAATCTGAACCTATAAGTACTGCAACTCAAGATTGTGCACCACATAAAGTAGAAACAGAAACAGTGGAGCCTTTGCCAGTAAGTCCTGCTGTCCAGACCCAGCCTGAACCAGAAAAGTCATCTATTGATTCAGCAACTGACGCTGTAACCGGCTTCATGTCTTCATTGTTCAAACCAGCATCTCTTGCTTCCGAAGGTCCTCATCAGGCACAGCAGCAGCAGAAGAACTTGCCATTTGGAACAGGTTCTACTGGTCAAACTGGGGCATCACTGTTAGGGGGGATTTTTGGAGGGTCTAATACTCAGTCAGCGTCTCCCCAAACAGGGGGCTCTTTACTTGGAGGATTATTCAAAGGAGCTACTCCACAGCCTGGTCTGAAGACCACAACACCCGTCACTGGAGGATCATTATTAGGTGACATGTTTGGAGGAGGATCTGCTGCTAAACCATCATCTGCCTCAAGTGGTGGATCTTTACTGGGTGGGATGTTTGGAGGAACAGGGGCAGGAGTGACTTCCCAGGCAGGCGGTTCTCTGCTTGGAGGAATGTTTGGTGGCTCTGCTGGACAGGCTACAGGAACAGAAACTGGAGCTTCATTGCTGGGAGGCATAGGTGGATCTCTATTTGGTGGTTTGAGGCAACCACCTAAACAATCTGAATCCGAGTCGGCTAAGCCAAAGTGTGCTACTCCCCCAGCACCTGCTACAGCTACAGCTCCCGCTACAACTACAGCTCCCGCTACAGCTACAGCTCCCACTACAACTACAACTCCCGCTACATCTACAACTACTGCTACAGCTACAGCTACCAGTACTGGTACAACTGCAAAAGTTGCATCTTTAATTACTGCTACCTCTGCAACTGCTGAAACGGCTACCACAGCTGTGAAACTGGGTTCAGAGTTTGAAAATGAAAATGTTTTACCAGAGGTTATGCCATGTATTTCTGAGAGTGATTCTCATGAAACAACTGAAGCAGAGGTAATTAGCAGTAAGGAACTTGCTGCTGAAGCATCTTGTCACAAAGATTCTGGGGTTGCAAGTGAGTCAATCCATATTTCAAAAGACCTTACCAGCCAAATAGAAACCATTGAGCAAGAAACAACTGCAGATAATCATGTGATGCACGAGAAACCAATATTCATTAAGGAAGAACCCAACAGTAATGAAACCATGAAATCTATTCCTGTGCAGTTAGGTAAAACTACAGCTACCCCAACTGATGAGTCTTGTAAAGTTGAACAGCCTCCAACTAAATCCTTCTTGGGTTTAATATCTGGCCAGACTGAGACAGGAAGATCTCTTGGATCGTTATTTTCACCCGCGAATCCATCCGTTGTTTCATCATCACCTCCAACCGAAGGCGGCAGTGGCTTATTTTCAGGATTAAAATCCTTTTCTGGATCCCTATTTCAGGAAGAACACTCTGCTACAGGGAAACAAGAGCTAGCAGCATCATTATTTGGGGCAAAAATAAGTTTTCCATGGCAGACAGAGCCACCCAAGTCTAAAGCTTCCCAAGTTACAACTTCTCAACCCCAATCTATCAACAAGCCCACAAACGAACAAACAAATAGTGCACTAAAGGCTTCAACAGCTGATCCCCATAAAACCGAACTGGTAGGTGGTTCTACAGATGGCTTAGCAAACCCACAGATTTGCATCTCCACTCCTGATGTAGATCCTTCAGCATCCCAGACCCTAATGGACAAGGAAAGGCTTGTAGAAACAGACCCCTCTGCAGGTTCTGCCGCAGGAGTGCAGCTGGACAACCAATCCAAGATGGATCTATTGATTGAGAAAAGGCTAGTAAAAGCATAATAAGTGGTACCCCCTTTACCAATTATGCTGCATTGACAGCTTATGAGAATGTATTCCCTGTCCAGCTCTACAGTCCATTGTCTCTAGATTAGTACACTTTCTTCTATCCTCTCAAAACAGAACTCCAAATTATTTTATTCTATATGTGAATGTATGGAATAAGAGGACTGATAGGAAATGATTAGGATTGATTTCTTCCTGTATTTGACAATCCCATTGCTGTTTTGTCAAGACTGTTAAGACAATAGTTTGATATTGGAGTTCTGATTTGAAACCGTTTTCACAGTAAAAGTGTGTAGTATTTTCTCCCTGACTTTCCAACATTAAATCAGACGATAATGTTCTTGTTTGGGGTCTGCTATTATAATGGTTGCTAAATGCCAGAATAATAGGATTATTTATTTTTTTTTATTTCTTTTTTTATTTAAACCCAGAAGTTTAAGTATATATTGTTGCAGTCTTCTAGTATTGGTATTGATTAAGTATTTGGTAGAATAGTTGTCTAAAGCAACCTTTTTTGATTTAAGGTTTTGGGTTCCCACAATAGTTTGCTGGGATTTTACCCAAATTGTTCTCTTGACAGAGCTGCTGTCCTGCAGGCATGTTACTTAAAAAAATAAAATAAATAAAGGCTTTGCAAAGAATGTTTTAGTAAAACTGAGATCAGTACTTTAAGTCTTTAAAAAAACACCGACTTTGTACTTAAGCCACTTTGAGACCCATTTGTGATCCGATCTTTAACTTCCTGGCTATTGCTTTCAGACTTCGTTTTTTCCTTTATATTTATTTTTAAAGTAATTTTGACCCCATTTTAGCTTAATTTGAGCTTCATATTTTTCTCACATTATTCTGGCAAGTAGTAAATCATATTTTTTTACTCCTAACTGATCTAAAATATTAAAAGTTTGGTCTTATTTAATGTTGGACTGTCTTTTTATACGGTGTACATACATACCTGCTTCCAACTTGATGTTCTGCTGCCCTCTTTATTGTGATTCATCTGTGTTTTATCCCAAAAAAATTATGTCTATTCCTAAATGAAATAGGTGTGATGACTTTGAGCAGATTATCTCTGCATATTTCTGTACCCATTTGTGCTTCAGCACTTTTTCTGGAATTGTCTACTTAAAAATCAGCAAGAAAATAAGCAGATTTAATTATCATAAAATAATCTTTTATTTATTTAGATTTTTTAAAACCTTTAATTCTTTTCACCGCAATAACAGTGCGGTATTCATGCAATATAATGTTTCATTTTTCCAACCCACAGCAGCAAGGTTGGGTATCTCATTTAAGGCAGCTGGTCCTTAAAAAAATATAGTTGTTAAAGTTTCACTTTTTATGCACAAGGCTTTTAGCAGGTAAGTGAAATTTATAAGTAAGTTGAATTGTTTTAAGATTTAGATATTAAACATCGAACTACTATAATTTAACAACCCCTTTTAATCTGATTAGTTGTAGAGAAAGAAAAATGACAAATGCCATTTTCTGAATATTTTTCATACCTTTTTTACATCTGTAGTCCAGAGGAAAGTAATCGTTACGGGTCATCGGGGAACCTGAGCCAGACTAGCTCACAGCTGAGTGAGACTGGCCATGAGAGCACTGGAGGGTCTGAACTGGAAGAGTCTTTCCACTCCTACCACAGTATCGGCTTACATCCCTCCACTAACGGCCAACCTCGCCCCACTGGACATCTCCCCACCAACGGGCTCTCAACCGGCAGTAAGAAGGACGAGGATGTCCAGTGCCCTGGATTAATACGGGATTTAAAGAGCGACGCATCGGAAAAAGAAGCATCTAAACCCCAAAGGTAACGATTTTGTTGAGAGTCGCTATCGGTTTGTCTTAAACTGAAGGTGGAATGGTTGTGATGATGATGCTGCCTCTTCATCATAGATTCCATGATGGAGGCCCGCCGTTGCCTTTCTCCCCATCTAGAGTTCGTTGGTTGAAAGCCATCAACAAAGTGAGGGTTCAGCTCCGGGAGGTAAGCACTTCATCATCTGTTTGCATTCACTACACTCTGACACACTGGTTGAGTTTGACCTCTCTTGGTGTTTTAACATTTGACAGAATGTGCTGGAATATTTCCTGTGTGTAATTAATTTCCATTTTGATTGTATTTATTTATTTTTTGCTGAATAAATGTTTGCAAATGAAGCTGCTCTGAGTTGTCACAAGCTTTCCCGTCATATAAACTACTTTTACAGAAATATCCCAAGCATTTCATACT